ATTACAGCATCGTTTTGATTCCTGAAGATGCTGACTCACATACACACGTCCTGCAGCTTCCAGTAAAACGGACGCACTCCCAGCATCGCTTCCAGATCTGTCCCAGTATCAACCTGAGAAACGCTCCACTCAGGCAGAATGAGCGAAAACACCTGAGTGTGTATGTGCAGCACGGTTAAATATAACATGCTGAGTGGAACACTAGAAAGCAACCAGCAGCCAGCATGTGAGCCAAAATAAATTAAACATATGCATAGAGAAATACTGCAACTAAAGCTGAAGCATCTTAATTATTGGATATAAGAATAAGAAAGTTTCTATTAAATAAAGTGTCATTTTCAGCAGCAGTCACGACAAGTTAGGATGCTGCTCCGAGCAGACACATGACTTTAAATTCAAACGTCCTTCTAATTGACACTCATGACTCAAGACAAATAAACTCTTTGCACATCTGCTTAATGACAGAAGGAGACAGGAGACAGACGAGCAGCTCAAAAAGTCAGAATTCTGCTCTGTCGAAGCTGCAAACATCCGTTAATTTGCATCATTTCTGTGCTCAGCCTTCATCAGGCAAATGGTTTGTTTGGAATTAAGCAAATCTGTGCTTGAAGTCGTGACATTTCGTCAAAATCACTTTATTCTACACGTCTCGTTTCAAAAAATTTGCCAAAAATGACCAATTTGCAATCACTAGATTCTCTAAAAAACAAACAATTCTGCACTCATTTGTGCAACTATGAAGCCATCAGTGACTCAGCTGCTACGAACAGACACATGACAAAAATTCAGAGACTTTTCAGCTGAACTGCAGGCGGTGTTCACTCACAGCAGAGATGTGGCAAGTAAGGAAACTAATTAAAGATGGAGATCAATACATAGCTATTGCACATACAGTCACCTTTTTTGCCAGTGTCTCTAACACAGCTGGGAAAACATTCGGACATTTGTGCAATTTTCGTAAAATAAATAATCAAAAAAATTCAACTTTTTTCCTTCTTCTTATGACTTTTGGCATCATAACTGTGTCACACTGTACAGAAAAAATTAGTGAGTTCTCTTTCCTTCTCATCGTGCTTGTTCTGTTTCCACAGAGGTGCAGGACTTCATGTTCCAGTGAAAATTGAGCCCACAGTGAGTAAAAATGTGACAGGAGTGCAGGATATCTGACGGGAAATGAATCCGGTGCCTCAGTCACAGCTGCTCGGTGTTCAGAGCGGATAATTAAATTACTTTCCGTTATTTATTTTTGCTCTGTGCCAGATCTCTGCACTGCAGCGACGAAGCCACAAAAACAAAATCTAGAAAATTGGATTAAAAATAAAACCGGCATCTTTTCTTTAGCAAGTGTAGAGTTTTGTTGAAAGTCTCTAACAGTGGCTCCGTAGTATGACTAGAAAACATGTTTTTATAGTCACATGAACATTCATGGATTTAGTTTAAATAACGATCTGATACCGAAGATCTCTGGAGGAAAAAAGCTCAACTAAAATTCCACAACAGTTTGCGTCAATAGTTTTAATGTTCAACCTTGAAACTACACTGATTTAGAGGAATTCTATATTGTTTTTTTAATCAGAGCTATCACCTTATTTACTACCATATTTGATGATTGGTGGCACAAACTCAAGTTTTTAAGTTAATTACTCATAAAAAAAATTATTTCCACAATTTTTAACAGGACTTTTTAAGCACTTTTTACACAAAAACCTAATTGAGAAAACAAGTTAACTCAACTTGAATTTAGTTTTAAACGCAGACTTTTGAGATTAAATTACACATAATTTGAAGTTGATGCAACATTATTACGTCAACACAACACACCTAAATAATGTTTGCAACTTATACAGTTTATCTAAAATAATTTTTCTTTTCATTATCTTGCAACCATGCAATTAATTAGGTGGCAGGAAAAGTTCTCTGGAGTTGCTTTTCTAGACACCAGTGCAGCTTCAAAATTGAAATTAAAGTTACTCGCATACCTGACAAAGAAAAGCTCAAAAATCTTCATAATGTGCAAAGCTGGGACCAGAGAATATCCATCATTTTTCCTTAAATTATGTTAAACTAGTGTGTTTTTCTGGTTTAGAGAGTGGAACAAGATCAATCTGACACCTAAAAAGTTTCACTAAATCAACAAATTAGATTATTTTTTTTAAAACTCTTGCAAGCAGGCATTTAATTAGGTGATGTGAACGTGTCTCCTGAATCACTTTTTATGATGTATAATGGCTGCAAACTCCAGTCAGTCTGTTTATTTTCTTCTTGAAAATTAATTTTGTTGATAAAATAATTTAAAAAAAAAACTAAACAGCAATTTAAAAAACTTCCAAAATTCAATGTGACTTTAAAATTGCTTGTTTTATCCAACTGACAGTCCTCAAATGCTAAAAATATTACGTTTACTTTCATTTATATCAAAGAAAAGCTCACAAAGTTCATTTGTGCAAAGCTGAGACCAGAGAATATTGCTATCGATTAGTCATTTCTGATGAAATTGTGTGAACCAAACAAAGCAATCTGTCTCAGAGTGTAGAAAAAGATGGTTCTGACCACCTTAATGCAAGTAAAGTGAGATACTCCGTCTTCTCTTCATCCGTCCTCAACACCTGAATCCAATCATCTCCCTTCATTCATCTGTTTCCTGAGACGTTAATGGACGGAGACACACAAACACCTGCCCGTCCTCTCAGCTGCCTCTCTCAATTTGACAAACTCGTTCCCATGAAGGAGAAAAAAAGGCCGAGCGGAGCAGCAGCTGGAGCAGGTGGCGACTTAGCACTCAGATCTCCCTGCAAACCTCCGTCATCCTTGTTTTCTATCTGACCCGATGTGCTCCTGTGCCTCCAAACGCACCACAGGGACCGACGGTTAGTAACTGACATCTGCCAGCAAGTACCGAACCGACCGCAGATCAATACCCAGAGCAGAGAGATTCCCACTGCAGCCCACGGAGACACCAAAGTGCACAACAAACAACCTCCAGGCCTGATTTTGATTTATATGGATTCTTTATTTGACCAAAAGGCTTCTTCTGGATGTTTTTTTTTTTGCAAATAATCCCTGAAAACAACCCCGAGGGAGAGAACTTGGTGCCTTCAGTGCATTCATTGATTATAAAATACAGAAAACTGTGAGATACATGCAGTTAAACCATGCTAGATTTTGATTTATAGTGATTTCTTATTGACCAATTGGTGTTTTCTGGCTAGAAAACACAGCAAGACTTTGTTTTAAAGATGTTCAATACGCAATTTTAACTATTTTTCATCCAGAATTATTAAAAACTTCTCAGTAATCAGTGTTAAAATCTTTATTTCCTCCACATCAGTTGACATTCCTAATAAAAAATATCAATAAAAACATAGAAGCACAACATCTCACTGACTTTTCTCACTTGTTTGCATCATTTTAAATCATTTCGGATGAGGTTTTTTTTTGTTGTTGTTGCTTCTTTATGTCATTTCCAGCCAGAAGAAACCAGCTGGTCCAACAAAAATTCACCCCAAGTCACTGTAAAATGTGGAAAAAACTACCGGGAGCATGTGACATGAGATAGGAGCTGCTTTTTCTCAAAATTTTGCACAATTTTCAGGGTACAAACGATTCTGGACGTGACATTTTTAGTCAATGTTCACCATTAACATCTCTAACATCGACATTCTTATTTAAAAAAGGCAATAAAAACATTGAAGCAGAACATCTTACTGTCTTTTCTCACTTGCTTGCATCATTTTGGATGTTTTTTTTGTTTTTTTTTAGTTTAAATTCATTTTAATCATCTCTAACATAGTGTCTTACTGTCATTTCTTTAGAATGTGGGAGACATTACCTGGAGCATGTGACATGAAGTTCATCAACACAACCTCTTGCTGTCTTTTGTCGCTTGTTTGTGTCATTTCCAGTCAGAAGACACCAAATTGATCAGTAAAAATTCACTATAAATCACAATCTAGCACGGCTTAACCGCATCTATCTCACAGTTTTCTGTATTTTATAAACAATAAATACACTTAAGGCCCCAACTTCACTCCCTCTGGATTGGTTTTAGGGATATTTTGCAGAAAAGGATGCTTTAAAACGGTTAAATCAGACTCCTGTCAGAGTGTTTGTGGCTTCAAGGTTAACACATATTGCACATTTCCAAACTGTGTTCAGGAGGTGGGAGTTATGACTCATGGTTTCTGAATTGCAGCCTTTAATCCTCCACTGAATTGAACGTGAAGGTGATTAAAGCTGAAATGTGAAGGCATGAATGTTTGATGGAGGCTGCTGCTGCTGCTGCTGCTGCTGCTGGTGGGCGTGTGGCTGACTGATTGACAAAGATCTGCGATAAAAGCATGAAAGCAGACATTTACCTGAGACCTCCTGCTTCATATTTGATCTTAACTCGTGCAGCAGACTGACTGACTTTGTTTTCATCACGTTGTTTCCGATCAAAGCTGCAGCAGGGCTTTAATCCTGCTCCCCGTAACCTCGCTCAATTTATGAATAAACGAATCTGCCGTCATGAATCCGGCTGCAGACGCTCTCCGAGAGCAGCATGAGGGATTCCCACCTGCACACCGTGAGCAGATTCCTCCTCTCCACCGCGGAGCTCCTGCCCGCTCCCCGCCGCCGGATCAGATGCAGCCCCGCGCCGAGAGATGCCATCTCCGGTGAAGAGGCGAGCCCCGCGCCGCCGCCGCCGCCGCCGGTGGTGGTGGTGGTGGTGGTGCACCAGGGCTGGACCGGCCGTGTCCGTCGCCCTGGAGGATCAGCAGATGCTCGGATGGAGCAACAGAAACCTGCGACAAGCCCGACGCAGAGAGTGCGTTGTGGCTTTTCAAAATAAGAGCTCGTACGTGGTGATGGAGACGGACTATTGGCGCAGGGGTGTCCGGGCTGAGACCATTACGCACAGGGAGGGGGGGCACAGGAACGCACACGTCCTCCATCCTCCTGCAGTGTAAAGCACTTTTTTAAAATCACTTTTAGCATTTGGTTTTGCGGCCATGACAAACACGAGGATCTACATGATCTTTTAAAATAAGATTTTTAATCTGACCCTTGATTTATTTTTATTATTTAAAAATCTGGAACGTTTGTACCAACTTCTGCTTTTTAAATTGTCGATATTACATTTTAAATTACATTAAGGTTGGGATTTAACTCCACTTTTATGTGTGTGGCCTTGTAATTTGTCTCACTATTGGTTGATTGGGGTTGTATGGAAAGCAAAAAGTGCCCCATTTTGCAAGTAATTTAAATCAAAATCAGCAAGTTTTACACCATTAAAAGCTTTAAAAAATTACGCTTTGGAGGTAGAGGTGCTCGTTGCTCTGCAGCAAAACAACTTAAACACTGGCGTATAAACCAGTTTTTGACAGCACTAAAAGTAAAAAGTTAAAAATTTTAAGCAAAAATGCTGCTTTTAACATCATATAAAGTGGCCCTTGATTTCTTAAAAAGAGGTATTAATGTCAGCTGTCGATGGCATCAAAAAGCAGTCTTGTAGGGCAACATAAAAATCTGATTTATACCACTTTTGTGTAAAAAGTTATTGTATATATCCTGAATCGTAAGATTTTATATGTGGACTCGTTGCACTAACTTCTATTTTTTGAATTGTCAATATTACATTTTAAATTACATTAAGGTGGAGATTTAACTCCACCTTAATGTCTGTGGCCTTGTAATTTGTCTCAGTATTGGTTGATTGGGGAGGCTGGACCGTATGGAAAGCTAAAAGTGCCACTTCTGTTTCTGTTCAAATCAAAATCAGACCGTTTTTATGCCATTAAAAGCTTAAATGATGCTTTTTCTGGCACCAGTGGAGGTGCTCATTGCTCTGCAACAAAACAGCATAAAAACTGGCATAACTAACCAGTTTTTGTCAGCGGTAAAAGTAAAATAATGTAAGTAAACTGGATTATTTTTCCTGCTTTTGATGGTGTCAAAAGGTAGCATTGTAATTGGAGCTTTTAACCTTGTAAAAAGTGGCCCTTGATACCATAAAAACAGTAGTTAATGCCTTGTAGGGCAGCATAAAAATCAGATTATACCATCTTTTGATGATTTAAGATGTTATTGTAACCATCCTGTAGCATAAGATTTTGTGTGTGGCCCTTTAATTTTTTGGTGTTTTTAAATTATTGATATTAAAAGCAGCACCATTTCCAGCACCAGTGGAAGTGCTCATTGCAGAAAAACATCAAACAAACCGACATAACGAAGGGGGATTAAAGGGCATTAAAAGCAGCTTCTTAATGCATCTCACTGTTGGGGTGTAAACACTTTTCTGCTTTTGAGGTCGTAAAAATCTGTCCTTGATAAAATTAAACAAGATGTTTTGACTGCTTACGGTGGCATCAAAAGACCAGTCTTGTAGGGCAGCTTAAAAATCTGATTTACACCAGCTTTGATGGCATATAAAGTCATTGTAATTTGGTTTCAGTGGTGTAAAAAGCAGCATTGTTATCGGAGTTCCACAAGAAGCAGCCGTTTGTCAGCTTTTGACAGCATAAAAAGCGACGGTGTAATTTGAACAATGCAAAAAGCGGCACTTTTTCGACTTCTAAGAAGATAAAACGTGTTGTAATTTGAGCGATGGAAAATGTTTCATCAAAGCAGCTTTTGACAGCACAAAAGACAGCATTTTAATTTGAATGCATGCAAATGGAGGCAAATTATGGCACCTTTTATTTTCGATAGACCTTCGTTAATTTACAAATTACATGAATACTCACATTAAAAATCTGTATTATTTACAAAAAGCATTTATTTTACAATATGCGAGCATAAAATGACACAGTTTTGCTGTATTTAAATCAGTTGAAGCTATGATTATATTACAGATATTTGACATTATCGTCACAGTTAATGAACATTTCTGATTGTCAATGTGTTTTTTCTGGTGTCCTTGCTGCCAAATTTTTTTTTCACTTTTGCTTTTTATAGATCAGCTTCTTACTGTTGTGTTAAAGATATTACTGATGCAAACAAACCTTTGTTTTCGAGGCACTGAGGGGTAATAAAGGTCAAATCATGAGGTGCTGACATTTCCAAATGTGCAATACAGAACTACAGCATCGTCACTTGGAAAGAGCTGACTGTAAAGGTGAGTGTGGAGCTTTTCTGGTCTTGTGTTTTCCTTTTGTTTCCATTTTCTGCAGAAATCTGAGCGTGTCTTTAAATATCTTCCATTGAAGGAGGAGAGCGCCCTCCTGTGGTCTGATGGAGAAACAGGGTTTCTCTTGAATATTAAATCCATGCATTCATCCCCTCCTCACTGCTTATCTCCACCTGGACTCCTGATGAAACACAGCACATTTACTCTACATCTCAACTATTTGTGCTTCTATTGAATTTGGCACCAAAACACTTGAGAGTGAAACGCTGCATTTGAGGGATCGCTGTGGTGACAAGTTGCTATTCAAATAAAAGGCAAAGCTGTTAAAAAGTAAACCAACCTTTGCCTCCAGGCGTTTTTGATTAGTTACACATTACAGAACAGCTGAGCCTCTCTGGACGTCCTTTGTCACGCTTCAGAGATCTGAGCTGGAGGAGAGATTCCACCTTTTAACCAGCATCAGTTTAATAGGTAAAGTCAGGCTGACACTCTGGTAGAACAATGTCTTGTTTTTTCAGCAGGAAAACTGTCCTTTTTTTTGGTCAATAACTCCTTTTGAACACAAGAACTCATAAACAGTATAATGAGCTTTTTTTATGACCATCAATAAGTTCAAAATCTGGAGTAATATCAGCTTCTTCTTCTTCTTCTTCTTTTTTATAATGACAACATAAACTACAAACTATGATAAGAGTCTTATGTGCAAAGTGTCCTCAGTGACCTGAGACTTCACACTGTTTCTATCCAGGGTTTAGTTTCTCATTCTGGCTGCAGTTTCTGGCTCAGTCTTGCATTTGTTTAATTCTGAACAAGTTTGAGTCCTTTTGGGCAATTTGTGAGTCATTTTGAAAAGTTTAAAGTCGTTGCTGACGGTTTTTAACTGTATCTTGGGCAGTTTTCAAGACATTTTGGACATTTTTTTTTCTCAGCAATTTGTCGTACTTGAGTTCTTCAAAGTAGGTTTCATCCCTACTTTATTTAAAAGTCTGTACAAGAACTTATAATTAATCTACAGCCGAACACACTTTAACTAATAAAAACATGTTCTTTATTTACTTCTGAAAACAGACGCATTCTTATTCTGTCTATACACTTTTCAGTGACAGTAAAACTAAATTTTGAGTTGTGGTTGAATGTTCATGCTGTTAAAATGCATCTGTATTGGAAAATGTGCTATAGAGAAATTTGTTTTCCCAAATAATAGCAGTTTTAATCTTTAGTCAGTGGCGGCCATGGTCACCTCTTGGTTTCATCCTTCTGTTTAAGATGGTTTAATTCACTAAAATCTAAAAAAAAAAAAAAAAACTTATATAAATTATTAGATAAACACAACAGCCATTTAGATGAGTGAAATTTCTAACAGCTGTTGGAAAGTGATAGTAAACTACCCAAAAAAAAGAAAGGAGTTTACACAGTATCGCTTTGTAAATAAAAAAAAAAATACACCACATTATAAAGTATAAGATAAGATAAGATAAGATAAGATAAGATAAGATAAGATAAGACATGCCTTTATTTATCTCACAGTGGAGAAATTCACATTGTTGTTAGCAGCATTACACACAGAGATACACACATAGTAGACAGAAAAATGTACATATAAATATAAGAAATAGTGCAAACAAGTGTAAAAGTACACATAAAAAGAGATGTATACTGGACAATGAGTTGGATATAAAACCTATAAATTTCTGAGACACATTCTAGGCAGCAGCATTCATATAGATAGTTTCTCCACAGTCTGAAACACTTAAAGATGTGGCCTGTACCAGTGTTTTCCTCATTATTAAATTATAGCAGGCCTTATTTTGTGATAAAAATAAATAAATAAATAAACAAACAAACAAAAAGAAACTGACACAACCTTTAGTTTTTTCACTAGGTGCCAATGGAGCCAATCTTCCACTCAGATACCCAAGTGCTTATAGGGAGATATTTGTTTTATTAAGTCCCCACCTAAAGTCCAAAGGTCAGCAGTATGTGAGATCTGGCAGTGAGCTCTGGAAACGATCATGAATATGGTTTTCCTCACATTCAAAACCAACTTTAGATCATGTAATGAGGAATGTAGCTGCTGAAAGGAAGTCCGGAGCTCATCAGCAGCCTGGATCAGAAACGGGGCAACAGAAGGGTGTCGTCTGCATAAAGACGCACTTTAGCTGTTGCGGTGGCCTTTGTAATGAAATTTTTTTTAAAGCAGTAATGGAGCTAAAGCTGAGCCTTGGGGGATTCCCTTAGAGATTTCCACGAAGTCTGACTTAAGTCCATCTGCGTATACACTTTGTTCTTTCTGCAATGTAGTTCCTGGGCTAGTGTATATATATGTATTTGCATACAGACTTGTCAACAGGATCAACTGAAAGATCCACAAACAGAACTGCACAATGCTGGTTCCTGTCAGCCAGAAGCATAATTTTACTGTAGTTTTAAAGTCTAACTCTGGATTGTCAATGGGTGCAGAGACATTTAATGTATTCCAAAATAAATACTCTAATAAATACAACTAAATGTTGTTAAAGTTAATCTGAAACAGTACAGCTTT